AGGGAAGGAAATTTGAGGGACGGGGGAGAGGAAGGAAATTGGAGGGGAGAAGGAAGGAAATTGGAGGGGGGAGAAGGGAGAGGGAGGGGGAGAAGAAGGAAATTGGAGAGGGAGGAGAAGAATGAAATTGGAGAGAGGGGGAGAAGAACTAAATTGGAGAGAGGGAGGGGGAGAAGAAGGAAATTGGAGGGGGGGAAGGAAATTGACGGGGGGAGGGGGAGAGATTGACGTCCATCACACACACACACAATGCACCCCTTGCACACAGAAAAACACACAATGCATTACACACAGACACACATACACAAGCAATGCATCCCTTACACACAGCAACACACAATGCACCCCTTACACACACTCAATGCATCCCTTACAGACGCACACACTGCATCCCATACATACACAAACTCACCTTGCAGCCCTTACACATACAAACACAAATTCACACAATGCATTCCTTACACACATCAGGACATCCCCCACACACACACTCCACCCCCTGTGAACAAACTCATTGGTGGAACATGAAGGTGGACCCTGGGACCCAGACCTTGAGCTGTGTAAAGGGCCCTCAAAAAAATGCTTCCCGTTCTCCCAGAACATTGATTTTTGTGACCACAGTTACAAACCGCCTCCAGAGAGCCTGTTCTACACCAGACCAGTGGAGCCAGACGGCAGCTAGAGCCCATCATCATCCTCATCTGGTTGTAAGTAGGCAATCTAGTATATTATTCGTGGCACTAATCTCTAATTTACCTCACATTAAAGGGACACTATAGTCCCCAGAACCACTGCAGCTTAATGTAGTGGTTCTGGTGTCTATAGCCTGTCCCTGCAGGCCTTTTAATGTAAACACGGCGGCACTGCAGCACTGGTGTCAATATTAAAATATTTCCATTTTATTTAGTTTGTTCATGCCCTTCAACATTGATTTAATAACCATGGAATTAGATTAGCTCTGACAAAATAACTGGCTACTTATCATATTATTATTACTAGCTCATGCCTACCAAAATGAAAAGGAGGGATAATCTGTCTCTATGATCCCCAATACAATAATTGTGAATAACTTTGTGCTTTGTAGATCATACAAAATAAACACTTGACTTATCCTGCTCTAATGAAGCTACACTGATAAAACTCTACACCCTGAACTCTTTGTCATGTTCTTTAAACCATTCCTGAACAATTTTGTGCAGTGTGGCAGGGTGCATTATCCTGCTGAAAGAGGTCACTGCCATCAGAGAGAACCTTTGCCATGAAGGGTCACTGCCATCAGGGAGCACTTTTGCCATGAAAGAGGTCACTGCCATCAGGGAGCACCTTTGCCATGAAGGGTTTTATGTGGACTACAACAATCTCAAGTTCAGGGTTAGTCAACCTGGTATTTCAGGTGGGTGGTGGTGGGTTCTGCAGAAAATGCCTGGTGGGCCTCAATGGCTGTGGCCCAAGGCTGGCAGGGATCCTTTCACCTCCTCTGCCGACCCATGCAGAGCCAACCTTGCTGTAAGTCCTCTCAGGCTGGTGATGAGATCAAAAATCTCACTCACCGGCCCGCTGGCAATTAGTTCCAGCAGAAGAGGGAAGAACCTGGGAGGCTGGTCGGAGCATTGTCGCGTGTTACCATGGCAATGCTCTGATACAGTGCTGTGCTCACAGGAGGACAGGAGAGTTAGCCTGCAGCCAGAGGAGCTGCTGGCTAAATTGAACATGCCACCACTGAACCACCAGGGCTTGCAGCAATATGTCCCCCATCCCTGGTAAAAGGAAAGAAGAAGGGAGGGGGAGACATTAAGATAGGTTTTTCACATTTCACTCACCTACACACAACATAGACCCTATGTGCCGTTAACACAAAAAATGCACACTACACTCCACCCCTCCATACACACACACACAATACACCACACACACACACACACAGACTGCCCCTCACACACACTCCACCCCTCACACACACTCCACCCCCTCACACACACGGCACCACTCACTCACTCAATCACTCACACACACACACCACCTCTCACTCACACACACACCACCTCTCACACAAACACAGCACCATTCACACACACACAGCACTCACACACACTGCCCCACTCACTCACACACTGCACCTCACACAAGCCTAGCACCCCTCACACACAGCACCCTTTACACACACACATCACCCTTCACACACACACAAACAGCACCCCTCACACACAGCACCCCTTTCGCACACACATAGCACCCCTCACATACACACAGCACCCCTTTCGCACACACTGCCCCTCTCAAACACACACACAAAGCAACTCACAGACACACACAGAAAAAAAAGTAGATTACAAAAAATATATATTAAAAAAAATTCACACTTGCGCAACACTGGTGGGCGGTAAGGATATTTTTCCTTTAACAAAGATACAAAAGTGGGTGGAAGGTATTAAAAGGTTGACTACCCCTGCTCTAGTTAGATGGTACATATTATAGTAACATCCACATGAATGCCAGTAGTCAAGGTTTCTCAGAAGAACATCCCCATAGCATAACACTGCCTCCACCAGCCTGCCTTCTTTCCATAGTGCATGGTGTTGCCATCTCTTCCCCAGGTACATTATGTAAACTTATAGGCAAAACAGAGAATATGTGGGATACGGCTGAACAAAATCTAAAATCTGGAACATAAAAAAATATACATAGCGTAATACAGTAATAAACAAATATTAATGCGCCAAGGTAATATACACTCACAAGATGAAGATGTATAATGCGCCCGAAGGTGCCTCCCCCGATATAGATGGGTGGCTTAAACCTCCATTTTCACTCCAATGGAATAAGTATAGAACAGAGACTCCAGTAGGATTGAAGGAAAGTATTCAAAATTTATTATAAAAAGGTGGACAATAACCACCAATTTGAGATATAAAAAATTCAGGAATATGGGTCCTATGCGTTTCGTTCCAGAGAACTTCCTCAGGGACCAAATAGCAGCAATATTCCAGTAATAAAAAACACATGTAACACAATATGATCTAACATCCTACTTTTTAGAGTCACTATTTATAGGGCTAGTCCCTACGTTCATTGGTGGGTGAGTGGGTGTAGCCTCCTTTTTCCGGATTCCATTGGTGTAGCCAGGGTACCAGTTCAGGTCAGATGTATGTCTCCTTGTAATCTTCCACCCATTCAAAAAAGGAGCGTCCGTGTGACACCGGAACCGGAAGTGTATTCTGTCTTTCACTTCCGCGTTCCATCTTGCGTTCCATTCAAATGAAATTTCAGCATAATAGTATATTGCCCTCTTGTGGTCGCCAGAACGGCAGCATTTGACATTATACATAATAAACATGGTGATTTACATCTATTAAGGAGAAGAAAGGAATTAGTCATAGTACAAAACGTTGATATCCACCTGATCGAAAAGAAAATGTGATTCATCAGACCAGGATATCTTTTTCAATTGCTCCAAGGTCCAGTTCTGATGCTCACATCCTCATTAAAGATGCTTTTGGTGGTGGGCTGAGGTCATCATGGACATTTTGTGGCTACACAGCCAAATAGGCAGCAAACTGTGATGCACTTTGTGTTCTGACAGCTTACTATCATAGCCAGCATTACAATTTTTTAGCAATTTTAACTACACTAGCTCTTCTGTGTAATTTGACCAGATGGGATAGCCTTCACTCCCCACATGCATCAGTGAGCCTTGGGTGCACATGACCTTGATGGTGGTTGTCCTTCCTTGCACACTTTTGGTTTGTACTAACCACTGCATACCAGGAATATCCCATAAGACTTTTGGAGATGCTCTGACCCAGTCATCTAGCCATCACTATTTGGCCCTTGTCAAGTCACTAAGATCTTTTAATGTTTACCCATTTTTCATGCTTCCAACACATGAAATTCAAGAACTGACTGTTCACGTGCTGCCTTATATATCCCTTATATATGGCAGCTGATTTTAACTGTTTTCAACTATTAAACAGAATAAAGTTTTTTTGTTTTGTTTTTTTTTACCAAATATGTGTTGCGTGTGTTTGGTGATGGGTTTGTCCCCATATAAAAATATTCAAAATATCACTGAATAAATGTTAGAAAAACACTTAATCATACCAGATCTAACCAAAGGTTTTTTCTATTATTTTTTTTTTAATTCTTTATTTTTTCGTGCAAGAGTTAATATTACAAGTGTTCATGCCTTGCCACAACAGCAGTAGCATGTACTGAAATAAACAAGATTTAACAGTTGTGGTATAGGATATAGTTGCCTATTTTTTTTTAAGATTGTCAAGAAAAAACAGAACAGTAGTCAGTGGTGTGATGACAAAATATGTGATGTGGGAACAAGCTATACCGGCTTACTATATATGCGTATTTACTAGGTGAGATGCATGGTGTATGTGAGAGGCAGACTAACAAGCTGGTGAACCGCACATCTGACTGGTCGAGTGAGTTATATGTATGATGGTAGTTAGTTGTATGACTTATTTGGCTGGTCAGCATTACTGTGAGGCCTGTTAGTGAGGCCCCTTATTCCCCAGCACTTCCCATGGTGATTGCCTTGTCTGTCAAAGGTGTGTTAGGAAAGTACACTTTTTACAGGCACATTAAAACAGGTTGAGCTGTGGATCTAGGCAGGATATCCAAAAAGAGTGCAGGCTCAAGAGTGAAAGCCTAGTGTGACAGAGTGGCTGGCTAAGCATGTGAGGTATAGAAAAACCAACAATAAAGGTTGCTAGTGTGTTGCATAAAACAGTAGAGTCACTCGAGGGAAAAATCTCTTAGTCCTGAATATATTGCACGGCTCTCGGTGGTTGATGCAGCCATCGGCCGCTCGCTGCAGTTAGTCAGTCCGGTGTCAGCCGACTCCCATGGTTGGTAAATGCTTGCTGAGGGCCGATGGCTTCTCCAGGGTTTCTGAGCAATGGAGGCAGCGTACTTCGCCTTTTCGGCCATGGGCCTTTTCACCTTTAAGGGGAGGTATCTTTGAGCCATGAGTCTGGGGGCTCGGGGAGTCAAAGTCCCGCTTGCCACGTGGGTGGCGGAGGGTCCTGGTGCTTGATCGCCATCTGTGGCGGATGATTCTCCACCTGCGTGAGGATCGCTACCGGGTAAATACCCCCGAGTCCCCTGGTCCATGCGGGTTGTACTTGGTTTTGGTAGCGTGTCGGGTATGTTCCTCGCCCATTTGTAGGCCCTCCTTTCTTGGACCTGCCGCCCTCCGGGTGCCTCCTTGTGTTGGTCTCTGCGTGTTTGTTACCCGCTTTTCTAGCTTGGCCCAGAATCGGGCAAACAGCTCGTCCAGTCGTTGGAGTGTCCGCTCCATGGGGTGCATTGTAGTGTGTACTGTGTGCGTCCGCAATCTTGGGCATGCCCATGGAGGAGAGTCCTGTGAGAGGCATCCCCGGAACCATCGGCGTGTCAGGAACAAGACTGGTATGACTTTGCAGCCCAGTAGGTATTTGGCTTGGTATATTTGTCGAGTTTAGTGTGCCATCCGCAGAAGCTCAAGCAGCACACGTCTGTACAGCTCTGTAGCTAGGCTCCGCCCCTCCCCGTTTTTCTATTATTATAAAAGAACTGTAATTTGTTAAACTGTGTAGTATTTCTGATAATATCGACTACAGTTGATGACAGTCCTGAATTGTGTTCATACTAAGTATTTTCTTTTGTGATGGTAATTAAAAGTATAATAAATCGTGAATTTAAAGCCACTATTTGCAATACCAAGGTATACAAATAAAAATTGCCATTTACATAAGCAATATGTCTACCCACTACAAGATTACTTATACTTTTGTTCAGTATTATCTTCAATTATATTACCTATATTTTGCAATCAAAATGGTAAATGCAGGAAATGTTAAACATTTTATAAAATTGATTTCTGTTTTCTTTTTTGGATGTGTAAAATTGACATAAAAAATATATCTTAGAATTGTGATGTACATTATTGAATTAATGGGTTGTTGACATTGAAATTACAGCTACTGTTTTTAACGGGTATTGTTAACTATAAAGACAAAGACAGTGCATGAGTGGTTATCCTCCCAGTCACCTTAAGGATTATAATGAAAAATAATAGATACAATTTTCCACTCTGAACAGCTCTGACAGAGAGACTTTGCTAAATAATACTCCCAGTTGACATCCTTCTGTCATTGAGTTCTTTAGAAAGAAAAGTAAATTTCCCCCTGGACATCCCAATGTATTGCTACAAAATATGCAATTTGCCAAAGTGCTTACCCAAGGACTGATGATAATATTTTACATTCAGGCTAGTGGGGAGAAAGTCAGACTCTGGCTTTCAAGGTAATTCCAGGCCTGGACAAGGACGTCCTCAACATTACGGCAGTTTCAAAAGGTATGTTACTTATGATCAGGTAAAAGCAAAGTTACAAAAGATGAACGGAATCCATCTTAGATAGGTCAATGCCAACAACATGCCCTCTTGGAACTTCTGACTGGTAATACCAATTTAAGTTAATAATGATTTTAGATTGCCAGCATCCTTCTTTAGTGATCTATCCCTCTCTCCAGTGTAAGTTTCAAGACAGTATGCTTGTTGAGTACACCTGGGGCAGATTCATTCTTACCTAATGTTTATGAGAATATATTCATCTCTTGTTTTAGATTATATTTATAATTATATCTATATTTTTTTTTTGTAAATGTATAAAGTAGTTACCAAGCAGTTCACAAAAAGCAATTTATAGTAATGTTATAATTTTTTGTGGATTAAATGGTAAACATTTCTGTGGGAGCTCTTTTAGGAGGATGACTCCATAGGTGCCACGTCAGTGCCTACTTTCACTCAGTGCTCTTTTGTTTTTAAATTAAACCCACAAAGAACACCAATTACTTTTGAATAAAAAAAAAAGTTACATAGTTACATAGTTACATAGCTGAAGAGACTTGCGTCCATCAAGTTCAGCCTTCCTCACATTAGTTTTTTGCTGTTGATCCAAAAGAAGACAAAAAAACCCAGTTTGAAGCACTTCCAATTTTGCAACAAGCTAGGAAAAAAAATCCTTCTTGACCCCAGAATGGCAGTCAGATTTATCCTTGAATCAAGCAGTTATTACTCTACATTGAAAGATTATATCCTTGAATATTCTGTTTTTGCAAGTATGCATCTAGTAACTGTTTGAACATCTGTATGGACTCTGATAAAACCACTTCTTCAGGCAGAGAATTCCACATCCTTATTGTTCTTACAGTAAAAAAACCTTTCCTTTGCCTTAGACGAAATCTTCTTTCTTCCAGTCTAAACGCATGACCTTGTGTCCTATGTAAAGTCCGGTTTGTGAATAGATTTCCACACAATGGTTTGTATTGGCCCCGAATATATTTGTATAATGTTATCATATCCCCTCTCAGGCGACGTTTTTCTAAACTAAATAGGTTTAAATTTGTTAACCTTTCTTCATAGCTGATATGTTCCATTCCTTTTATTAATTTTGTAGCCCGCCTCTGCACTTTTTCTAGTGCCATAATATCCTTCTTTAGAACAGGTGCCCAAAATTGCACAGCATATTCAATATGTGGTCTTACCAGTGATTTATAAAGAGGCAAAATGATATTCTCGTCCCGAGAATGAATGCCCTTTTTCATGCATGACAATACCTTACTGGCCTTGGCCACTGCGGATTGACATTGCACATCATTGCATAGTTTGTTGTCTATAACAATGCCCAAGTCCTTTTCATGTGTGTGTATTACATTTCATCTGCCATTTGAGTGCCCAGTCCCCCAGTCTATCAAAATCCCTCTGCAGCAAAGTAATGTCTTTCTCACATTGTATTATTTTATAGAGTTTTGTTTCATCTGCAAACACTGAAACATGACTTTCAATGCTGTCTTCAAGATCATTTATAAACATGTTAAATAGAAGGGGTCCCAGAACAGACCCCTGAGGGACTCCACTTGCCACCTCTTTCCTCTTTGTACTCTGTTTTTAAGCCAATGTTCTACCCAATAACAAGCATTTCATCTAGACCGATTTCCTTGAGTTTGAACACTAATCTTTTGTGTGGAACTGTATCAAATGCCATGGCAAAATCCAAATAGATCACATCCACTGCAACAACACTGCAACACCCAGTTCTTAAAATGAAGTTAACATTGAAAGATAGATAATAGGATAACCTTTACAATCTAAATGTAGAAGTTTCTAAGGCTATATGAAGCTAGTGTGCCAAGAAACCAATGGATAGCAATGGATATGTCACGCCGCCCACCGGCGCTGCTCCTGTCAGAGGGTAGCATGAGTCCCAGCAGGCGCGTATCGCTAGGGCAGTATTCCCACAAACTAAGGGGAGTACTGCCAAACACTCACCGGAGGTGACCTCTCCTCTCTCAGCAGCCGGGCCTGTATCATTAAAGACGTCGCCTGCTGCAGTTGTGAATAATTTAAGGGTTTCCTGTTTAACCCTTAAAGGACCAGATGAATTAATTTAATATGGGTGTGTTACACACATAAGCTTGATCACATGTTTCCCTACAGCCTATAAGGAACATCTTTAGCTATTTAAACCTAGTTTGTTAATTTCTCAGTGCCCTGTCATGGCTTCCAGTTAGTTATCTGAGAGTGTGTTCCTAGTATTGATTTCTTGTGTATCTGACCTTGGCTTCCCTTATTGACTATCCGATCTCTGTATTCCTTTACTTTTGGCTTGGCTCCTGACTATTCTGATATCTCCATTCCTTGACCTTTGGCTTGTTTATCATTTTCGTTATACCTTTGTCTTGGCTTTTCCCTATCTTGTGTCTTTTCGCCTTTTTACGTTAAATCCAGCCATTCTAAGGCCCGGTAATATGTCTTAGGTATTTACTTTATCTACTTAAATTCTGCGTGCTTGGCATCTACAGTAATCCTGACAGGATAGTTTTGAAAGCTGGGCTTTTGGTAAGTAAAATAAAAATATTTCAAGCAGATGAACCTGCAAAAAGAGCTCAGCCACAAAAGCATCACCATGTCTATGTGTTTGAGGTAAAAGAGCAAACTGGTTATAATTGCTTTATGTCAGAAACACATCCTTGTCAAAATGAAATGTATGTTAGTACTGAGCAGTTATAACCTGATTGACATATTTCCATCTGGTTTATTTGTAAGGGAAATACTCAAAGGGGCATTTGTTAGAAAATTAGCAAAACTTAAAAAATGTGTGGTAGTCTTGCATGGTGCTGCAGCTAATGCTATTATTTAAATTAATCTCAGCAGAGATTTTCATATATGTTTAACACTTTTAACTCTCAAGCATTCATAGAGTTTTGTGTTTCAAATAAGTGCAGGTCACATTACCACAAAATAAAACACACTAATCAAAAATAATAAAAATGGGTGCACTAAAATATACTTAATTGTTTGGTGAGGAATACTATATTGAGCTTTTCCACATTCGTCCACCTATTTCCTTGGTAGCACACACTTTTCTCACTGCACCCTCGTCCTCTGGCTCTTGGGTCCATCTGTCACCACCCACAAGTGTATTAATTGGTCCACTCTTACCAAATCAAGTATAATGAGACGCATCAGTCACCCTGCTATATTAAAGAAGCATGTCCCACATAGATAAGACTTTCCACAGCCGGCACTATTGTAACATCCAGACTCTTCATGCGACCTATGGTTGTGCCTAGCCTACCATTATGAAGATAATAATTAAGATATTATTTTAAGTATTATTTAGCACTACCAAAACACTTTATCCCATGCTACCTTGATTGAAAATCTGAATGAGAAAAAAAGAAGCTGCCTCTGCAATATAGTGTTTAACAATTTTAATGTTTATTCAAGTTAAATATAAAATCTATTCACTAAAGTGCAGATTGTCTGGAATTCAAAGTGAATGCAATGTGAATTCAAAGTGAATATTAAATTGTAGACCAAAGTAGCAAAAATTGGAAGCATAACTGGCTTGAAGAATTTTTCCAATTAACAGGATTATTTAAAGTGAACAATGCAAATTTTTCTTAGACAGTTATACCCTTTAACCCCTTAAGGACCAAATCTGGAATAAAAGGGAATCATGACATGTCACACATGTCATGTGTCCTTAAGGGGTTAAAGTACAAATGCGCATCAACAATAGTGTAAGACTTTATAATTACATTGCAGAAGTTACTGCATGTTTTTAGCCTACGGGATGTCTCACATATTATGCCTTCTTGGTGATTTTTAATGCTCTCTTTTCATTCTAAAATTATACATTTTTCATGGTTTTGTAATTAGAAACAAACTGATCTGAGACATAATTTAGTCCATTTTATTTTCCCTTGTACTTCCAGCAGATTCTAAAAGCTATTTTACAGCTTAAGCGTGTTATTTTTGCTAAGGCCACTATTTGTGCTATCTCCTCTTCTTGTTAGCCCTTCTACTTGTTTAAGATGGTATAATAACCTTGATACTTTG